GTAGCAATTGCCAAGGGGACGCCCTGACTCCAACTCGCAAGCCCGGCGACTATTGGCCCCCGGGCCTGCCGATCGCAGCGGGCGATGGAGCTGAGTTGGAGCCGACAATGGGCTGTCACTCGTCCACTGCGCCTAAGCAGCCAGGGGCATGCCGATCCCAACCCCAGGGTCCCGCGCCGATCCCGCCGATTGCTGTTTCGGCCTGCGTTGGCGACGCTGGCCAGCTGTTGCTGCTTCCCTGCTATCGATTTCTACTACGTAGTCTACCCAGTAAGTAACGTAACTTGTTTTTATGTGGATAATATTTTATTCCAAAAATATCCGGTGGGCTAACCGTGTGCCTGCATCACATTCACCAACGACTCACTTTGATTATGACGCCCGATCGGAAAGAGCATCGATCGACAGCGTCTCCTCTCCCTGCCTAAATAAACGGTCGCGCCCATCCCCATCCCTCTTCGTCATCCCTACCTGACCCGTCTTTTGTTCCTTTCCTCTTTCTCCCAACCTTTCCTCCTCTCCACGTTCTTAACATTCCATTCCTCCCTCGTGCACGCCCAGGTATGTGTCATTTCTATTCCCTATCGTTTTTGTATTGTCGAATAGCTTCATTTGTCCAATAATTAACAACGACCGATCTTCTAGTAATTCAACGCGCACGACATCAACAATAACCCTTTACCTCTTCTCATCCCTTTACTCCATAATCACAATGCGTTTTCTCGCTGTCATCGCTCTCCTCGCCTCTGTTGCCGTCGCCAGGCCGGCTGAGAATGGCGCCCTGAACGCGCTCAACGTCCAGGTTATGTGCCTTGGAGTGAGTTTGGCCATGTCCATCATGTCGTGATATAACAGCATCCTAACTATCTCCAGCGTGACGACGGACTTTGCGTTGGCGGCAACATCACGGCCGCCGGAAACAGCTGCTGCCCTCCACTGGTCTGCGGATCTGACCGGGTAAGTGTTCTATACCAGCAATGGTAATATACACAACAATGACTAACAGACATTACTTCTTCAGAAATGCCACTAAATGCCAAATACCCAAGTCTGGCATGTTGACGTCGAGAAATTCTCTAGACTGTGAAGATATAATGCGTACAGGGGTGGAAGATGTGATGTCGGATACGCTGGCGTGGGTGATAAAGGCATCTCGAACGGCCGGGTTCATATTGTACTTGTCGAATACGACTAATATGTGTCAATAACACTGCGATGCTGACAAGCTCGCTCAAAAATTTGAGTTGGGGTAGTTAATTAGGAAGATATACTAACTCTATCCATTGCCATTGATTACTCTGACCAATTGACCATCCTGGTAAACCACTAGCTTAACGCTGACCTAGGGACGAGTGACGTGCAACAATGATCACCGTATGACGAACTATTACTACATCTATCCCTTGTCTTCCGCTCCAATATCCCCTCCTGTTCGCACATTCAACGCCTGCCTACGCCCTGCACGAAACCTGCGACGCGCTCCCAAAGACGCAGAGAATGCCATTCTTGAACACTTTCTTTTGGCATTTCAAGATCATGTGTCTCGAACCTCTTTCTGCACCCGCAGCCTACGAACGCAGCCGAGCTCTTCACCAATGCCGACTGTCGTTCCTCAAAACAAACCTCCAAAGAAATTGCCAGAATACCTGATTTTCACGACTTGTTTATGATTGCCACCCAGCATCGATTATCGCTGGTCGGTATCGGCGCTATTGCGTCGAACAAAAGAAGGAATTCTGTCTTCAGAAAGAAGAAGCGGTGATGATGTGAGACAGGATTCTCTATTTCTGTCCCCCTCCACCAAAAGCCTTGGATTTGATTACCGGTCGCCCAGTCTTCTACACATCACAAACAGTAAATTCCGATACTCTTCTTGAATTATGCATGATGAGATGGATGGCCTCGGGATCCTGTGTTCCAGTTCTGGAGAGTCCCCCTTCAACAGGTAACGTTGACCCGTCGACTCGATTCTGTGTCGGAATTATCTTTCTAGAGCTGTGGTCTGGAAAACGTGATGTTTGTCATGACTCTAGGACGGTCAAGTACCTACTTTGTTCTGGAACTTGGGCTTGGGTAAAGATACAGCAGCATACGGTGATGATGAGTGGTTGACTGTGCTTTCCACGATTTACAACGTCTCTCGTTTCTTCTGCGGCGACAGACAAGACGCCGAACAGATTGTTGCTCACCCTCCGGAACTACTGATTTGATGATGGCATGCCCTTTAGGTCTCCGAACCCTCCCCGTCTTCCTCTTTATGCCGGTGGGACCATGTCCCGTTCCACCTACAGCAGCTCTCGTGCTGCACCTGTTCTGGTATTAGATACGGGCATCACGCTTTTGCTCATATCGCACAGTACACATAGAAGCTTCAAAAAACGCTCGTTGACGCAATATCGTTAACATATCATACTTCAAAAGTTTCATCATTCCCGGTTCCAAGATATTTCCAGCCTACTTATTCAATCCCCCGATCAAGCAAACCCAAACCACTCCATATCCTTATCCCCATGAATCGGCACCGTATGACCCACGCCCGTCGCGAAGATTCCCTGCAGACTATCTCCCCAGATCGTCGTCTCGTAATTCGTCTCTGGGGTGTTCGCCTCCGTCTTCTCAGGTGCGCTATAGTCATACCCGAACACCCCGGCCCATTGCTTGCACGTCTCGTAGTAGTTCTGAGGATACAGCGTCGTGTCTATACTACCGTGGTAGATCTGCATCTTTGGACGACTACCCGAATAACCCGAGTACATTGCCTCGGCAATACTGGCCCAGTGCTCCGGGGTGGTGATAACCTCGCCCTGGGCACAGGTGGAATTCCATCCGTCTACTTGGTTGGTGTTCGAGTAGAAGCACCCGGCTGAAACGCCGGAGTAGACCGTGCCGGCGGCGAAGAGCTCGGGGTAGGTCGCTGCCATTACATTCTATTCTAATCAGCACGTGCCGTCTTTTTTGTGATTCCGGGGTGTATTAGGAAAAAGGAAGGGTGGAATGGATACCGTCATCATAGCCCCCGAACTCGATCCCGTCACAAACACCTTGCTACTATCGGCCCCATACTCGCTGATCGTCCAGGTGACCATGTTGGCAATGGAGTTACTGTTTCCACCGCCATTGTGTGTCAGCGTTGCCTGTGAACTCACGTCCCAGCAGCCGCCGGAGTATGGGCTGGACGGGTAGATCACGATGAAGCCGTATTGCTCGGAGAGGGTGGCGTAGGGGGAGGCGCTGTAGTAGCCGGGTCCAGTGCCGGTGCCTATATTTGTTACTTAGACTTTCGCTCATGCATGGGTATGATAGAGATCGTATAAGAAGGGGTACGTACAGTAGTGGATTGCAACCACGATACCTGGATTTGAAGCCAGGTTATTAGGCACATAGATGTACATGCCTACATTTGTAGGGTTATCACCGAAATCGGTGACCTGTTGAAGACTGCCACTGCGCTTGACAGCATGGGCGGCGATGGGGTGGAGGAGGGAGGTAACGAGGGTGGTGATGACGAAGAGGATGTTGGTTGAAAGTAGCATGGTGATTTCTTCTGCCGTGCTAGGCAGTATGCATAAATCGTGCTAGGTGAAAAGAGATACAGCTTGGGCAGTAGGGAAGACGCCAGAGGATATGAAGACGATTTATAGCGCTGCAGGGAGCGGGTAAATTGAAACATTATGGAGTAATTGTGTGTTTCTATAGCTATCCGGAGTATTGGTTCAGTGGGTATTTGGCAGTGGTCTAGACATAGGAAAGACAGTGTAGGCTGATTTCATTACGGAGATTAAGCAGGGCTAATGTGACAGCCGTGACAGCTCCGACATGAGGAGTCTGGGATAGACTACGGAGTGGGAACTCCAGATCGAAATGGTTAGAGATCGTCGTTGCGGGCCGAACTCCGTAACAGATCCCGTTAGAGCCACTGCAGGGCTGGGCCACTGGTAATTCTTCACATTGGCGGCTGTGCGGAATGTGTGAGTATGCAGCATCAAATAGCCGGTATTCAGCCAGAATGGGTATTTGGCTGCGGAATAATCTGGGGTAAAGCTTAAGCAATCGGCACATTTCTTTGCCATGTGAGTGAGGTTCTTGGGAGTATACTCCCGGCACTGACGAACGGATAGTTTGGATATCTAAATACGCGACCAGTCCAGTCATAGCAGGCTCAAGTCCGACCTGAACTCTGTCACAGCCTTTTGCTTGAGGCAAGAAAGGTTTCAGATGGGTTAAAGTGGATGAAGAAAAAAGTTGAAGTTACGGCGTAGGTGGTCTAGTACGTGCTTAGACTTATTGGTGACTAGTAACCCTTGTTTCTGGACCACGGCCTTACATCTTCCATAGTTAGTCGATAGGTCTTCGGTTTTATCTAGTCGCATTCATCAGTAACGTAGTCACTTTTACGTCGGATGAAAGGATAGCTCACACCACAATATGCAGCCAAATATCCACCTCTCCCTTCCTCCTTTACTTTGTCGAGGTCGGTAGCACAGGGCACCGAGTTGTGACAACCCAATACCCATGTAGCTAGCGACTGGCCGCGAGGAGAGGTAATGGCGATAATCATCTTGAGAGGTCTGTCCTCCATCAACACCACAAGCTTCGCTTTACCCAATTTTCTAAAGCAACCTGCTGTCCTTCCGTCTTTTCTGAATATGACAACTCTCTCCAAACGGCTATCAGTTCAACGACTACTTGATAAGTAGAATTCTCAGGTAGGGTATCTTAGGCAGCTAGTTATGAAATCTCTTATGTCTGCTCAGTGGCGAAATCTAAGGCAGTCGAGCTCCATATCAAACCCGTGCTGAAGATGCGGACAGAACCAAGGCAAGAGAAACGGCTGATAGGTGGAATGTCATAAAGGGATTTCAATTTTGGATCTTTCATAATGCGAATCAGGGCGTTTTTATATTTTCTCCTTAATTCATAAGCTCAGAACATAGTGAGATCAATGGAAATACCACCAAGCCCACTTTTCTGGCTCCATACCGCCTTATTCCTTGATATACTCGGCAAGTAATAATCGTGTCATCCCGGGCCCATGGTAGGTATTTCCAACGACTCATTCACCGGTAATCTGCAGTTTCCTCTAGCCAATAGAAGCTCTCTACTCTCCTAGATGTTGGAACAATCGCGAAAATCCACTTTGTCCTCCTGGCCAATAACGACGCGCCGGTTCAATGTCTGGGACGCGACGAGGCTGACAGGGGGGTCCTTCCTAATCGAGAAAATGTGATGCCTGAGGTCATTAGTAGGACCTAGTGACATCCACTTCCTGGACCTCTCTCACCCAAAACGCTCTGTTATGTGCCTACTATTGACACAGCAGGATACAAATCTGCGCATATTTGAAGCTTTTATCATACAATACAAGCCAACAATTCGGTACATCAACACCTAACGAATGAGGATCAAATGAATCAGGATATGTCCCAAATATGATTTAGAGCTGTGCGCGAGCTTCTGCAGCAGGGCCAAATGGGTTCTTGAACCCAGCAAACCCGTTGACTTTTGTATCTTCCAGTTTGGCTCGGAATGCTCCCAGTCCCCCAAAGTAGAAAAGACTCGACGTTGCGTCTCCTGGTGAGTTCTTCCTAAACATCCACGATGATCCTTTGTTGAAAAGAAGTATCTTCGCTATATGTTCGCATACCTCAGTCCACTCGCGCTCAGCTTGTTTCGTTGCTTCAATTTCACATTGCTTCCCTGTGTGTTTGGTGATATCCTGGGCCCGCCGGATCGCGTCTGTCAAAAAGCTAACTTGTATCTCCAACAACGGAGGCACATTTCCGAAAGCCACCCTCGGTCCAAGCACGGTCAGCAGGTTCGGGAATCCTGCAACTGAGCAGCCCAGATAGCAGTCCGGACCAGTACGCTTCCAGCGGCCATACAGAGTTTCGCCCTTCTCGCGCCCTTGAATGTCGATTTGAGCGTAGGTTCCGTCCATAGCGTCAAAGCCAGTTGCGACTATTATCACGTCTAGCTCGTAGAGTTTGCCGTCTGAAGTACATAGACCTTTTGCCGTTGCCTCGGTGATGGGATGTTTCTTTATATCAATCGCATACACGTTCTCCCGGTTGAACTGCTCATAAAATCCAGCGTCTGACAACGGCCGTCGGTTCCAGGCATCCTTTGGAGTCAAAATAGCTCGCTTCTTGGGATCCTTCACAATCTCTGCAATCTTCCTGCGAAGGAATCGGCAAACCTCTTCATTAGCCGCTGCGTCCACAGCAATATCTGAAAATGCTGCAAACATCATCTGGATACCGTTTCCGTCCCTCCAGAGATGCTCCAAGATCTCCTCACGCTCTTCTGAGGATACGGACATGATTGGTCTGTCTTGCTCCAGAAAGCCCATTCCCAGCCGAGAAGTCAATACGTCTGACCAGACCTGCGGGAACTTTTCATCCAATGATTTCTGCTCTTCGGGAGTTATCTGCTTGTCGTTTGCTGGAATAGTATACTGCGGAGTACGGATGAAAACATGGAGCGATTTCACCTTGCTAGCAATAGCAGTGACTACTTGCACCCCGCTTGAACCAACGCCTATGACACCAACACGTTTGTTCTCCACTTGGATGCTTGGATCCCAGGTAGCTGTGTGGGCAACCCGGCCTTTGAAGCTTTTTAGACCAGGGATATCAGGAACCTTGGGCTTGACGAGGGCCCCGACAGCCGTGACAAGGTATTTCACCCGATATACATCGCCAGTCTGACACTGGACCCTCCACTCCTTGGCAATATCATCCCATCGGGCTGCGATCATCTCCGTATTGAAATGAATGCGGTCGCGGAGATCATGTTTCTCGACGACATGCTTGAGATAGTCCATGATCTCCGGCTGGGTGGAATATCTTCTCACAACCGGATGGGTTTGGAGTAGTTCTTCGTCGAAGGCATAGCGATAAACATGACTCCAGCTGTCGCTCAGAGCACCGGGATATCGATTCACATACCATGTGCCACCGACGTCACTTTCCTTTTCAATCGCCTGGACGGCCAAGCCTTCCTTGGCGAGGGTATACAGGGTATAGATACCAGAGAAACCAGTCCCTACAACGAGGGCGTCGAGACAATATTCATGGGACATCTTGTTGTTGCCAGGGGCTCGGTTTTGGGATGAATTTTCACCTTTCTTCTTGTGAGCTGGCTGGGATTGACTAGTTTATATCCCTGTGCTCTGCTTACTATTTTGTCCGACGTCTGCAATGCTTCTGTCCTTGATAAGGATCCTTACATATGTGGCTACAAAATAACCAGTCATCGCATTTGCAGTGGCGGGCCTTGAGACGTAACACGAGGATGACATACCCAAGCTTCATAGCTGCTTCGTTATCCTCATTGCGGGTTTGAAGCCGTTTCCGGGACATCAAAGTCAAAGTGCTGACTATTCTTCTGAAAACGGAGGAATCCAGAACCCAACTTCAGGCCTCCAACCAAACCTTAACCCGCTCCTCATGCTCACACTCTCGCTGCAATTCTTTATCAGCCGATCGCTTTCTAAGCTTCAATGAAAAGACCCTCGGAATGCCCGAAACCTTTTGACAGGGAGTACATTTGCCACTTTTCAGCTTGAGAGACAACACGAGGAATCCAGCAACTCGTGACCAAAATGATCAACGACGGCGTTGCGTGTTCGACAGCTGTAGGTTTATCCTAAAACTCTCTGTGTCCTTCACCTCTTCGTTATCTTCCGATTGGAGCTGTCAATGTGTAACAATGCTGCCTTCAGTGCTGTAGCGCTTATTTGTCCCGTGCAGAAGCTACAGCCTGACCATGATAATGACAAGACATCCTTGTATCACCACCCGTGCCGCGATAAACTCCATCTTTGACGCCTCTATTCGCTCCTAAGTGCCCGAACTCAAGCACAGCCATGACCCGGGTGTCCAAATCTTCTTTAACTTCCTGGTTAATATAGGATATCCACTTGTTCAAGCAAGTCTGCCTGCGGAATAAATCCCGATCAGGCAACGCAACATCCACTTCGGAATCATAACAAGCGCGATCGTTTACGGGGACATTCTTGGTGTGACTATGGCATAAGCTGGGTTATACAGAGGCTTGCAGGTATATAGAGACGAACTCTACTCTGCGTATCTGATGTAAGCATCATATATGAATCTCAATCGCCCAACATGCGACAGACTCTTTTACTAACGACGCTCTGTCTCTTACTGATAGGTCTCACAACCAATGTACTAGCTCGGTCTCGGCTTGAGCACCAACCAGCATGGGTACATCACAGTAGAAGAAAGGGCCAGTTGCACAACATGCGAGGTCGCTCCTCAACACCTTTATATGCACGCACGTCGAGCAAGCAACTTTACAGCGATCAAGTCTCCCAAGAAAAATATTTGGGGGGAGCTGACAGATGTTGAGACGGCGTCTCTTGTGCAATGGCTGTTCCATCAGCCTGAGCTAAACCTAACCGCCGCCGATGACGCCGGAGAGTGGGACAATACAATGTAAGCTTAGCTACTCCGTTCATGGTAGCACACTGACCATATAGTACCCTTGTCGAACTGTGCGTCCGAACAAGTCCGATGTGCTGCAGTATCTGGACCACGATCACCCCCCTCCCACGCGTTATGCACGTGTCGTGCTTGACGTACGTGCTAGTCTCAACCCATACTACGCCGAAATACTGGTTGGACCTCTGCCGGTTACCAATAAAACTGCCACCACTTGGGTGCCACTCGAATATCCTTACACCAGCAAGACACAAGGCCGCATACGCAATCTTGACGCTGACCACGATACCATCTACTCTGAATGGCTATACAAGATTAGCGCTTCGATCGCCGACATCACTCTGGACCTATTCAATGGCACAGCCTTAGGCCTAGACAATGATACCATCAGAATCTCGGGCATTAACCCCCTGTGGCAGGATGACGGTCGGATCATCCGTTGGGATACATTTTGGAACCTCCCTGTTGACGAATTCGACGCCAGCAGCATTCTGCCCCTGGGATTATTCTTCAAGTCCGACATCACAGGCCGTGATCCATCTAAGTGGAAACTCGAAGGCTGGTTCTACAATAACATGTTCTACGAATCCACCAACGCTTTTCGAAAGGCATACTACTCCCCAGGCTTCGTCAAGCTACCCTCTAACGCTGAAGGCGACTGGGCACGAACAGACCAGACCAACAGGGGCCGGTCCTTCCGGAAGATCAAAAGCAGCCACCAGTCATGGTAGCTCCATCAGGAGCACGGTACGCTCTCGACACAGACCAAAAATACGTAACCTAGATGGGCTTTTCCTTCTATATCGGCTTCTCCCGCGACACCGGTGTCTCCATCTTCGACGTCCGCTACAAAGGACAGCGCATTCTATACGAGTTAGGCCTACAAGAAGCTTTGTCACACTACGCAGGAAACGACCCCATTCAATCCAATACCGCATACCTAGACTCCTACTACGGCTTCGGTCCATACACATTCGAGCTCGTTAAAGGCTATGACTGTCCAATCTACGCCACATATCTCAACACCTCATTCTACGACTCTGACTCAACACACACCCACGTCGACAGTCTCTGTCTTTTCAAATACGACGCCGACTACCCCATCCAGCGACACACCACCCAAAGCTACATCTCCAGCACCAAGAACATCTACATCACTCTCCGATCCGTCTCCACCATTGGCAACTACGACTACACCATCAGGTAACACCCCTTCCACCACCCCTTACTCACTCACTGAAGAACCAAATTTCAGCTACTTCCACCTCGACGGCACCATCGGCATCGAAGTCCGCGCCTCAGGCTACATCCAAGCCGCCCACTCCGCCCACAACACCAACTATGGGTACCAAATCCACTCGGCCCTCTCCGGCTCCATGCACGACCACATTCTCAACTTCAAAGCCGACTTCGACATCCTCTGCACCGCTAACTCCATCGAACTCACCTCGCTCGTCCCAATAACCACCACATACCCGTGGTCTGATATTAAAACCCGAAACACAATGCACCTCTCCCGTCGCATCCTCTCCTCCGAAACAGAAAGCCGTCTCAACTTTCCCCAATCAGCAACAACAACAACGCTCAGCATCATAAACCAAGACGCCCGTAACGCTTACAACGAATACCGCAGATTCTGCATCCTCCCTTCCTCTACCTCCTCCGGAGGAGGTACAAACCACCTAACAATCATCAATTCCACATCTCTAATCCACGCAGCGCACTGGTCCGAACACGACATCCAAATCACAAAACACCACGACCACGAACCGCGGTCCGCGCACTCATACAATAGCCAAGACGTATATAATCCTGTGATCAACTTCGACGAGTACTTCGATGGCGAGTATTTCAATCAGACGGATCTGGTGGTGTGGGTTAATCTGGCGATTCATCATGTTCCCAGTACCGGGGATTTACCGAATACGGTTATGACCACCGCGGTGGCGGGGGTGAGGTTTGTGCCGGTTAATTATTTTACGGGGGATCAGAGTCGCGGGACGGTGAATATGGTTAGGGTTGAGTTTGGAGATGAGGATGGGGTGGAGACGTTTGGGCAGGAGGGGGAGAGGGTGGAGGTTGTGGTGAGGCCGATGGAGGAGGTGCTTTGGGGGTGAGAACTATATTTCAGTACTGGGCTTCTCCTATATATAGTATCTACCTAATAATCATATATATCTCCCCCCATCCACCGTAATCACCTGTCCCGTCATATAACTCGACTCCTTCCCCAACAAGAACCCAACCGCATCAGCTATCTCCTCAGGCTTCGCACACCTTCTACCCAGTGGCACCTGACTGAGGTACTCTTCTCGCACGTCCTTAAACGAGATACCATCTATCAAAGGCGTATCCGTAGCACCCGGCGCCACGCCATTAACTCTGACCCCCTGGCCCGCAAAACTCGCCGCCCATGCTTTCGTCATGCCCAACACGGCATGCTTGCTCACCGTGTATGACACATACCCCGGGTTAGCGTGAAAGGATGCCGTTGAACATAGATTCACAATCACTCCTCGGCCTTCTCTAGCTGTCGCTGGGTTGAACTGCTGATCGGCCTCGCTTGGGAGGATGTGCGAGAGGAACGCATTCCCCACGTTCCATACGCCGCGGACATTCACCTCCATGACTCGGTTGAAGAGATCATCGGATTCGAACCCGAAGGTGACGGGTTTGTAGGCGATTCCGGCGTTGTTGATTAGGCCGTGGAGGGTTGGGGTGGTGGTGGTTATTTGGTCGAAGGCTTCTTTGACGGCGGTTACGGAGGAGACGTCTGTGTTGGGGTAGAAGTGGAGGTTTTTGTTCTGGGGGAGGAGGTGGGAGGGGAGTTCTGGGGGGGTGGATGAGATGTCGAGGACGTGGACGATGGCGGATCGTGTGAGAAGGTAGTGCAGCACGGCGAGGCCGATGCCTGAGCAGCCGCCGGTTAGGACGTAGGCTTTGCCTGAGTGGTAGTCTGTTGTGAGGGTCATGGTCTTAGAGCTCGGGTGTTTTGAGGTTTAGGTAGGATGATGGGGCGAGAGTGGGTTTGGATATGAGGGGTGTTGGTGCTTTTAGATGTTAGAAACCTGATAGATGGTAGCTATTGCGGTGTAGGCTTAGCATAACATGCATAGGGGTGGACAACCATGTAGATTGCCGCCCAGGTTGAGGTTCATGCATTGGGATGACTGCTGCATTGAGCAAATAGCATGAATGTGGGTTTGCCCACCAATGAGCAGCCTTGTCCAAGCAGGGATGTTTCTTGAACTAATGGAAACCGCACCCATCACAGCATTCGATAGGCCAGTCAACTTCTTGATTTGGAGTTTGTGCGACTGTCAGCTGCTTGATGATCTTGTTCTAGGGACACTAGTATGAACTATGGGCCCAGTGCGTCTCATGCTGATAACCGATGCACATTGCTGTCCAGTCGATCACACACCCTGGTCTAGCATGCTGCAGCGACTGACATCATACTTATTTGGTAGTGATTGCCGGCCTGCTTAGTTTGGCGTATCATTAGCGCCCTATCTCAATCATCCCTTGCGCTCGTCGGCATTGTTCATGTATGTCGTCGCTTTTGGTAGTTTTCAGCTTCCCATGACTGCAATGGTCCGCTGGTCCGCAGCTGAACATTTTATGCAGTAATTGTCGCACTAAGTGAAAAACCAATGGTCTCTGCCGTCACAAAAGAACTTGCACGTTCTCAACCGCTTCACCTGGAGGCCTGTTACTTTGGCACCTGTCACAGTGGTCCAGTAGACCTTCCATGCACCATCCTAGGTCTGGCTTCCAAGAGTACACTGCCATTTCCAAAGGCCAGACTGTATGACCATTGGTGGATGTTTGCAACTCCCACACTATTCAGAGCTCAGTGAGAGGTTTTGGACCAGCATCACTAGTCAAGCCACAGCCTCCCTAAGCGCTCAGTATCTGCCTGAGGATTCGTTTGCCATGGTCTAGGCAATTCTTCTCCCCTAACCTTCCATCGTAAGAAACACTTCTAGCTGGATCTCGATGCCAACAATGTGAAACCGGCGATATATCAAATCATCATAAGTTTGAGGCTCAAGGTTCGAGGATTTATGCATAAAAGCGCATTTCAGACACGCGAAGAGGGTTCGGATGCGTACTAACTGTTGCTATGCTGCTCAGGTTAGTCTTGACTCCCGGATTAGCATCATTCAGTATTTATGATTGTTGGTCACTGGTAAGCGTGCACCTCTATTGTGCAATTATCCGCAGTGCTTACACCGCTCATCCGATAGTATGTGGGGTCCAGTGAGGCTATGCACGAGATCTATTTCCTCAGCAAGTGTCCTGGGTAGACAACAATGACACTGGATAAGCTTGTGTCCAGCCCAACAATGCCGCAGAAGCGAGGTCGCAGCCCTGTAGTATTTCTCGAGCTTCAGCCAGAGGAGAGCATTGCTAGCGCACAAGAGGAGCTAAGAATGCTCGGTTAGTTAACCACCAACTGAGACTATCAGCGAAGCCGACTAGACGAATCAAGTCAGTCTCCATTTAAGCGAGGCCATGCACGCTTGCGAGCCAAACAAATCCTACTGCACATTAGATGAAAATTCTTAGTGCCAACTAAACCAACACACCCACTAACTAGTTAGTAAACACCCCATTGTCCGTGACCATGATCCCCCTTGTAGTATTCTGCGTGTCAATCCCAGTGATGATCTAACAGACTTGCACTGAAGAAGAATATTGAACGGCAATAGAGAACCAACCTGCGGCCGAAAGCGCCTACCTTCATACCGAAAGACGGAAAATAATGTCTCATCGTTCCCAAGGATCGCCCGTGCGGCCCTCAAATTAGCTTTCCACGGTTTCCACCAGATCGGGCCCGTCATTCCCCTTTGGAAGATATTTCCGAACCACGGTTCTAGCCCCTTAGCTAGAAAAAGAGATCTAGGTACCCTGATACAACACCCAACCGTGATCGAACCAGCACCAGTATGCGAGACGGAGAAAATGTCGCTCAAAGGAACTAATTTCCGGTCGTTTCCGGGCCTTGGCCGAGGGGTATCCATCGAGGCGAGCTCGCTGGATCGGCATCTATCTATCTAGACTAGGTTTTTCTGACGGAATGTAGATAGTCTAGTGTTTTGGGGTGTTTGTTAGCTTGTACTGTGCAAAATGGTCGTGCCGTGGAATGCGGGTTCTAATAATATCTGGTTCGTAGGGGAGAGAGAGATGAAGCGAGGCTTACCAGGGTTCAGGTTGTCGGGCACTGCTGGTTTGGTTTGGTTAGTGTGTGAAATAGAGGGTTTTCGTTTTTTCTGATTAGCGTGCAAGAAGTGATAGATACATGCAGTTAGTGTCTAGAGAATGAAGTTGCAGCCAAATAGAGGCCGGCTTCGGTAGTTCATCAAGCTGATGTGTGCCGCTGAGGTATTCGAGCCATTGTTGTACACTGTTTGGATGAGTACAGCCACGTATTTCCTTTTTTGATGCTCTTGTATGGCAAATCATCGGCCGTCAGTGAGGCCTTTGAACGATTTAACTTGTCCAACTCAGTTACACTCAATCTTATTCTCAGCGAGTCTATCATCAAGCCAGTTCACGACGCATGATGAAACGACTAACAGAGCAGAAGCTTTCAACCGGGAAGTGAGATACGGACAAGCTGAGACAGGCAGTTTTGATGGAGATGCAGAGGGAGTCCAAGTCAAAGAGGAAAGTCGAACCCGTGCGCCTCGTCACGAGATCCCTAGGCGTGCCTGAGGTTCCATCCAACTCGGACGACAGGAAGAGACATTGAACTCCATCGCGTACTCTACCCTCCCCTACTCTTTCGATCTACGTTACTAAGAGTCATCTACTGCTTAGTTCCGCCATCACACCCGCGTAGAGGGATGCACAAGGCATAGGCTATCTACGTACTGCATATCCTCGACCAGGCAAGTCCGGCCCCAGTCCCACCGTCCTACATCCTGCCATCCTCCCCGCGAACAGTATCACCGCGATAAGGGTTCTCTAAGAAAGTGTCTGCCTTGACAGGATGAGGTCTTTTCCGCACGTTCGGCGCCCTTGGCGCATACGTCACTATTATCATCCAGTTGAACCCAGGGTTCAACTTTTACCGTATATCCGATGGTTGAGAGATGATAGACAGGGGGGTCAAGGGCATGAGGATACAAGGACAGATCAATTAAGCATCACGTCCTTACCCCGAAGGGTATATCCGTGGAGGGACCCTAGCCACGTGCTGGATTGAACAGGAACAATAGTTTCGGCCGGATCCTTCAAAGGAGGATGGATCATACGGTATGTCTGTCCAGGGTCGAACATATCCAGTCACTGTGTCTCCTTGACTATTACTGCGCCCGACCCCACGCCAGCCAGCCAGTCAGCCAGACCCTGGCTACAACCGCAGCGCGCACAATACACCACTCAGGATTCAGGAGGTTTAGGATGGCCATTGCCATTCCGCTATCCGTGCACAATCATCCCTAAACGTCCGACCCGACAAGACATGGCTGTATCCGCTCTGGATTCGAATCCCTGTTCTAGATTGTATGATCACTTTCGTAAATGTCTCTCGGGCTGGCTGGTGGTAGTGGACTGACGCAACACCCCTCCCCTCCCTCAGTGCAACGAGACTGTCGGGAGTACGTAGTATAGGAGAAGGTACAAAGTCCACCGGGAGAAGGAATAGGATAGGACAAAAGACAAACGCCGCCGACACAACCAAACCAAGGCAGGGAAGAGCGAACTAGAGCAAATCCCAGCATCCACCGACGATCGTCATTCCAATTATGATGTAGTCTTTCATGCGTTCGCCCTAGTGTGTCACGGTACGTGCATCAATAGGTTGCAAGGCAGAGAAAAGTGAGCAACAATCACTGGAATCCGACGATCGGGGTGGTTTCTAGTCCGCGGAAGTGTTTCTGCTGTGAGAAAGAAGAAAGAAGAGACGAGTCGAGTCAGGGTTGCAAGGCCTGGAACAGAAACAGACACAGAAACAGAAATAGAAGTTCCATGTTCGCCCATGTTTCGGCTCCGAGGCCAGAAAAAGAAGAAGTGTGGTTCGACCGGACCCAGGAATCAATCAATTAAACAATCAATCAATCAATCGATCCTTAACTAGGCTCAACGGTTGACCCCGCAGCCTTGTCAC